CAAAATACACAAAGATAATAATCGCATTTTTTCGGTAAAATTTTCGGAGCGGGTAAACTACCATTATCTTTGTGTATTTTGGGGCACTTGTGAACTGATTTGAGTAAGTATTTTAATAATAAAGGAACAATTAATACCAAACACCGCTATCACATTGCAACCAATAAAAATGCAAAAAAGCCTGCATCATTATAATGTATATAATTTTTTTTATTTGATATTAATTTAATAAAAAAGTATTAAGAATAAATTCAATAAAATAAAAAAAATTAATTATATAATCATGCTCACAAATAATTTTTAGGAAATTTTTCTATAAGGGGTTGGGTTTTTTATGAGGGGTAGGTCTTCCATAAGGGTTTTTTGGGTGGCTGAAAAGTTGCAATATATCACAGATCATTTGAAAACCAATAAAAAGTTTATAATTCAACATATGCACAGCATTAAAACATCTCAAGCTTTCAATAATATTTTGTTTATTTTAGGGATGGTTTTTAAGGATTGAACTTTGTAATGAGTCGTAAGCTTTCTAATGAATAACAAAAGAAATGCAATACATTGTGAATGCACCAAAAGAATATTTTAAACTGTTAAAAACTTTTTTTCGATTTTTTTTGCCATGGAAGTGTAGGTTTTAAGGATTTTTAAGAGTTGAAAAGTAATTAAATTTCATAAATTATATTAAAAAACATGAAAGGAACTTTATTCAACATATTTGAACATAAATTGAATCTTTAAAATACGTAAATCTGCGATTTTCGCATTTTTTTTGTACAAGGGTAATTTTCACCCCCAAATAGAAAAAAGCACACATCTAGACAATATAATTTTTGAAGTGGGTGGTCAGATGAGTTTGTATGCAAATTTTTAGGAAAATCCATGCTATCCGAAAAAATTGGGAGCTTTTACCTTATTTTTGCCTTCAGTGACTGGACTATTATACTCATAACGCTGAACTTTGACTTACCTTTTCAAGAAAAAGCGACCTACTGGCAGCTGGTAGTTCGGACGTCCCTTCTGGTTCAACCTAAAACATGACAGTACATTTTCTGAAAAAGAATGTTATTCAATGTTAATTTCTGGCGGAGTTAAGTGAATTCTAATGAATTCTTCCATCTCAAATAAAAAATAGTTATTTTTATGAATTTAAAAGGAATAATAATATAGCCATTGCCGTGTACATAAGGTATTTACTTAATAACGCTCGTCTCATAGCAAGCACAAACGATCTGATAAAATTATTATTATTCACGAAAAAAAGTATCATACAATTTTAATAATATAAAATAAATAGCTTTGTTCACTATTATGAAAAAATTAAAATCGACCAGCGAAAAAATTATGTGTTAACTTATTGCTATTTACTGCAAGCATAGCCCACGGCAAGCCAAAAAAGTACATTATTGAAAAATTTAAAAATATTAATTTATTTTTCGAGATACTTATGTGCATATTAAAAAGGCGTCCTCTATTTTCTTTTTCTTTTCATTCTTTTTATTAGTATGTATCACATTTTTCGAATAACAATTTCTTTCGCTTTCCTCCCGTTGTTCCCTATTAGGTCCTACGCCCCTGGTGACGCCCAACCCCGGCCGATGCACGAGAGGATCCCACAATTATGGGTAACAATGAGCGGAAGAGCGAGTAATTGCAAAGGTAAAGCATTGTAATCCGGTTGGAGCGCCAGGTAGTCGAAGGAGGCTGTGAATTTTCAAGGGAAGTGCAACGAGGGCACATAGAAAAGTTACAATAAGCGCGTCTTCGTTTATAATATAAACCATAAAAAAAATTAAAAAAAGTTTGTGCCATGTTTTTTTGACGTACAGAAATAAATTAGGCGGTAAATTAAATCCGACAAGTTTTTATAAAAATTATTTATTTTTTATTATTCATTGGCTGATTATTGATTTACTGTATTGTAGCGCTAAAATAATATGACAAATTTGATTGTTACAGTAGTTCCGATAACGGAACTTTATTGGCTTATTATTTCCTTGGAATTCTATCTCGACAAATATTGTACGGACTGTAGTGTCTTTTACAAACTGTTAATTTATTAATATACTGGTAAATAATAATAATACACAGCTGTAACGTCAATAAATAAAAATTAACTAACTTTATATGTGCTCTTTAACGATCAACAATCTACAAATTACGTAATATTTATTAGTCATGTATTATTTGAATGTTGTAACCTCGGTTGTAACTTAATAAAACAACGTAAAAATATATAAATGTTAAAATGTTCAACATTTCTCATTTTAAATCAGACAACTCTATTACAGATGTAATAATTTGTTTTTACCTTATTAGCTTTTTTTCTGTCTAAGATCTAAAACCGAGTGCAAATGCAAGTTTCGAGCTTTTGCTTTTAGCTGTTTGCTTGTTATTAGTTGTTTCATGGAAGAACTGTTTTAGAGCTAATAAGAAACAAAAAAAAAGCCTAGAGAAAAACATGCATTTGAATGCGACTAATTTTGCCTGTAAATAAAACTATTGTGTGCCCTCGATTGACGAAGTACCGCAATCAAATCAATGTCTTGTTGTTGAAGGGTCATAAAAATTTTTGTAGAGAATTGAATTTCCCATCGAAATGACTTATTTAAAAAATGTAAAAGGAAAATTGTATGCAAAAAATCGTTAATAAACAATTCTAAAGAAAGCAAAGAATAAGACTTTGATTTTTTGAAAAATTTTTAATAAAATAATTTAGTAAAATTTGAGAATTTAAGTACAATAAAGTTTATTAATAATGTATATACAGTGTGTCCACGGATAGAGTTGACAAGACGAGAAACTCTTGTTTTTGACTTTATCGAAAAATGTCACTCTTTATAAAAAGTTCTGCCCCTCGAAAAAATGGGAGTGTAATACAAAGATCTCAGATTAGATATACAGGGTACTCATAAATTAAAAAAACACGAAAATACTCAAGAGGGAAGTACCATTATTTATTATTTTACACAACATCTTTATAAAGCAAATCTGTTTATAACCTTAAATAATGTCCTACAAATTTTAAAATCAAAATTTCAATTTTTGAGGTGGGAAATAGCTATACATAGGTATAGAGTAAAAGTCAGAGTTTCCCAATTCAAGTCAATTCTCTACAAAAATTTTTCTATGAACTATACCGAAATTTTGCTTCGTTTTCGTGCTATATTTAAAAAATTGCAAAAGTGCCATTTCACCCCTATCTTCAATATTTCAACCCTCTAATTTAATAGCACCCCGCGGTTTTTTTCATTTTTAATGACCCTTGGAACAAGTCATGTGATGAAAATCCTTGAACGTCTTATTTCCTCCCTTTTTTGCAAAAAATGAGAATTAAAACGTATAAGGGTAAACGCGACGAAAATCGAAAAATTGGAAAGTTTGAGCGGGCATATATCAGTCAATTTCCATCCAAAAATACTTTACAACCTCTTGTTTTGAAGGTAATTGTATCTACTTTTTTTTTCTATGAAGCAACGCATATACCTATCTTTACTCATAAATAACTAGAGGCAAAAAAGTAAAAAAATCAGAAAATCGAATTTTTTGCTTTTTTTTTCAAATTGTTTATTAACGATTTTTTTTTAAATTTTCCTTTTAAAATTTTTAAATAAGCTATTTCGATGGGAAATTAAATTTTCTACAAATTTTCTCCTATGAACTATACCGAAATTTTGCTTCGTTTTCGAGCCACAATTAAAAAACTGAAAGGGGTGCATTTTCATCCTTATCTCCAATTTCTACCCTCTAATTTAATAGCACTCTGCGGTTTTCTCATCTAAAATGACCCTTTAAACGATTCATGCAATAAAATTGCTTGAACGTCATAGTTCCTTTTAAACCTGTTTTTTGGATATAATCAATAGCCTATTAAGTCTACTTCGTGATCCCAAAATTTGAATATGATACGGAACAGCTGGCATTCGCGAGAACAAAGGGTGCGGCATCTACTAAATATGAATTTAAAATCACTCTAATAGGGAAACTTGCAATTTTAGCGCTTCGCGTTTGATTATTTTTCCGTCCTTTTTGGTAAAATTCTTTAACCTTAAAAAAATGTAAATGGTGTTTACTTTTGAATACTGAGAACTATGTAACAAGTAAAATAGATATTATTCACTGCCGTGGCGAACAATGTTGTACTTATCACAACTTCTATCTTTTCATTTTACTAGGAGGAAAGGCTGACAATGGAAAATCAAGTTTAATTACTAATAAACTTGGTTCTGAAAATTTGGACGTAGGGCGTAGCGTATAGCAAATGATAAGTTCATTCGTCATCGTCAAAGCGCTATATCGCCGCTATCAATTTGAATATTTTCCTTTTAAAAAGCGTTTAAAATGGTGTTTTCTCAAGAACAAAAAGTGTTTATCATAGAATCCTACTTTAGAAATGGACGCAAGATTGATGGAATATGGAAGTATTCTATTGAGGAATGTTTCATAGAATTTCAAAATCAATTTCCCGGCGTTGTTGAGTACAAAATTTTTCAAAGTGCAGTTCAGCGTTGTGTTAATGTTTTTCGTGAAACGGGCAGTGTAACAAGAAAAGAAGGAAGCGGCCGACCTAAAAAGCGGACTGAAGAATTAAAAGAAAATGTCCAACAAATAATGGAAAATGCGCCAAGAACTTCTGTACGTGTTTTATCACAAATGGTGGGAGTATCAGTCGGTACCTGCCACACAGTGTTAAAAAAAGATTTGCGTTTGTTCTCCTATCGTTTAACTTGTCAGCAAGAACTTCATGAAGTTGATTTTCCGCGACGGGCTGTATTTTGTGAATGGTTTTTAAACAACTACGGTGAACTTCATAATATCACCTTTTTTTCTGATGAAGCCTGGTTTCATTTAAGTGGTTACGTAAACTCACAGAATATGAGAATGTGGTCTTCTGAAAAACCAGATAACTTTTTTGTCGAGGGCCCTCTACACGCTCAAAAAATTGGAGTTTGGTGTGCTCTCAATCGAAGGAGGATTTATGGACCTATTTTTTTTAATGGTACTCTTACTGCGCAAAGGTATAGAGAAGAAATTATCGCTCCTTTTGTTAACCAGCTGGAAGAAAACGAAATTACAAACTTTTACTTTCAACAAGATGGCGCAAGGGCACATACGGCAGGCGAGACGATGAATATGTTGAGGGAAGTTTTCCAAAATCGACTAATAAGTCTCAATGCTGAACATGAATTTCCACCGAGGTCATGTGATATTACGCCGTGTGATTTCTTTTTGTGGCCTTACCTTAAAAACACTATTTTTGAACTGCCTATTCCTGATTTAAACCATCTGCAGGCTCGACTTATAGACAAGATTCGTGAAATTAACAATACCCCGAGCATCTTAGAAAATGTCTTTAATTCTTTGAGGAACAGGTGTGAAAAGTGCTTGGAACAAGGAGGGGGACACTTTCAGCAGCTGCTTTAATTTATTGTTATAACAAGGAGGGGGACACTTTCCGCAGCTCCTTTAATTGTTTGTTATTGTTATCACGATTATTCTTTAAAATAAAGTTATATAGTCATTAACGTTATTGAAACTGACAGCTGCTATACAGCTCGTTGAGAAATGAGGTTAAGTTGGTCGCTATAAGCTACTCCCTACGTCCAATGTGTCAGAGCCAACTTCGACCACGTTTTTATTTGAACGCTCGTTATATACAGAGGAAATTTGTATGAATACAAACACATTTCGGGCATAGCGATTTTTTATACGACCGACATTATTAATATGTCCACTAAAGGTTTTGACTTTCCTATATCTAACTGTAAAGCATGTCTGTAGAGCTACAAAAACCAAGGCCAAGCATCACAAAATACAGTAGCGGACGAATGTGAAATAAAAATCGCGTCCCCGATATTGAAAATAGTGACTTGTTTCCCGTATTAAACGAACAAAAACAGCACCATCTTTTGGTTGCTTGTTTTCACCAACATAAAACAATTTACTCGGGTTTACATTTAGCAGTAGCAAGTATGTAATACAGTAATATTGGTTCTTTAAACTACCACAAAGGTTACCTACTTTTCATTT